AATGGCATGACAAAACTAACCATTTCCATTTCTAGTTTCTTATTATATATAATTGTATAATCATTATGAACTATTTTGTTGCAGTAGACAGTTGCCACGTCGAGGACAACCTAGTAATATTACAAAACATGCTGTTAATTAATATTAATCAGTACTTAATTGTATAATTGCACTGTAATAGGGAAACCTTAAAATATTGTAACTTTTTTTTAGATAGTTTATTTTTCATGGAAAATTATATGTATGTTCTTTTCATAGAAGTCACCAATTTCTATAGTGTAGTATTTATATGTATATATCAAAAGTGTGTGGAAAAGTGTTTTCTCTCACCCACAATGCACTGCACATTGTAAAGCACATTTATGTATTTTTATCTCTTCCGTGATGACGTGGCATCCAAATGTTTTTTTGTTTTTTTTGTGGAACTTGTGGATTGGTCGTAGTATATCCACACTTCCACAATCAGATACTTTTTGTTCACGTTTAATGTTTAATATACATTTATATATTATTTTAAACAGTTAACATTGTAAACCATAATATTGTGAAATAAATACTCTAAAATAACTTTTTTTCTGTTATATATAACTTTTTAAAATGTAATAAATTCCTGTGATGGCAAAGCTGAATATTCAGCTGCCTTTACTGCAGTCTTCAGTGTCACATGATACTTTACGTCCCTTTCTTTTGTTTTCCAGGAGTCTTTGATGAATAGAAAGTTCAAAAGAACAGCATTTATGTAACATGGAAATCTTTTGTAAAATTATAAATGTCTTTTAATGTCATTTTTAATCAAATTAATGCATGATTGCTAAATAATAGTATTCATTTCTTAAAAAAAAAAAAAATCAGTAACACTTTAAGGATCAAATTTTAGCTATTCATTTGTTGCTTATTAGCATGCATATTACTAGCATACTGGCTGTTTATTAGTACTTATAAAGCACATATTAATGCCTTATTCTGCATGACCGTATTTTAGATCCCTTAATCCACCCCATACCTAAACTTAACAACTACCTTACTAACTATTAATAATCAGCAAATTAGGAGTTTGTTCAGGGAAAACTCTTAGTTAATAATGAATATGTGTTCCCTATTCTAAAGTGTTACCAAAAAATCTTACTGACTTTTGAATGGTAATGTACATAACTTACTTACATATACGTACTTCATAAGTACACATTTTTATGATATTATTTTGATTTAAAGGGGTCATATGATGCTATTTTAAAGATCATTATTTTGTGTATTTGGTGTAACAGAATATGTTGACATGCTTTAATGTTCAAAAAACACATGAAATCGCATCATATGACCCCTTTAACATTTTTATGTTGTTGGCTGCTTTCAATGTGGGCAGGGCTGTGGTATGATTCTCAGAAATAAAAAACCAAACAAGCATCCAACAAAATGTAGTGTTGTTGCTGGTGAGGATACGTGTTAGGGGAGCATTCTAGTTTTGGTGCTTTGTGTCAATCACAGTGTAGACAGCCATGTTGATTTGGGATAGTGTCCTAGTTAGACGGGATGTCAGACTGAGTAGATGTGATGTAGATGAGATGTCAGGCTGAGTGTGGTTAGGGTCCTCTGCGGTGGAGGATGCTTTAGAGCAGCACAGCTGATGCATGGAAGCTTGTTAAGACTTGATCAATATTTTAAGTGGCTTATTTTATGCACTGGTAGGCATGCTCTGTTGAAGACTGATGAGTCTATTAGCAAACTGAGTTTTGTGTAATTGCTGTGTGGAAAATGAGCATATGATACAGCGTGATGACTTGGGAGAGATTTCATTATTTTTTAGCTTGGCTTTTGTTTTCGGGATCGCTGTGCATTTCCATTATTAGTGCACAGAGCGTACAATTCCACTGTTATTTAGTTTGTTTACACTTCAGAAGAGATTATCCTATTTAAGTCAAATTTAAGTGGCTTTGTGTAATGAAAGTCTATTGTTTATCATTGTGTAAAATTGCAAATCTACTACAATGCACAATATCCAGTTTAATTTCCTTTTTTGTTCTCCTTTCATACTAAAACAGTACTGTGGTATAACTATGACACTGTACAGTGATGCATCAGATGGTAATAATGTGGTATATTTATTTATTAAAATTGGAAATTGCATTGTAAAGAGATAAGTTACTGGCTTTATTGTTGTGTATAGAGGATTTTGTCTGTATACCGTTTGGTGTTTTCATCCTGAACTCTCTTGGCTCCACATGAACCGCAAGGGAAATCTTGTTTTGTTGAGTGTTGGTCCCTTATGAGACACTGGTGTCTTTTAAAAGCACTTTAAAGACACTGAAAATTTGTGAGCAGTGCTTCCTTTAGACAGTAGAGTGTGACCAGCTCAGACCCACACATCTGTTCACAGTTTGGCCAGAAAGAAACAGATTGAAAAGTCTAAATGATTCACTTTGTATCTGATTGGTGACCCACTGTTCTTCACTCAAGACACACATTGGGCTTCAGGTGCAATGTGCTTCCCTTTCATGGCAGATTTTGAAGAATGGAAACAGCTGCCAAACATAAAAGTATAAATCCAAAACTGTAAATATTTCATTTTAAATGAATATCAATACATTTTTGTGAAAAACTTTCAGTTATGAATATGTGTAAAGAAAATATGCTTCAATTATTCTTAGGTATACACTGATATGGAAATTATAGTTAATTGAAAATGATTTCTATTTAATTACTTACGTTTTTTATTATTATTATTTTGTGTGTGTGTGTGTGTGTGTGGGAAGCTGTGAAACGGATACTATATTCTAGGTTTTAGATTTAAAAAATTGTAAACTCTTCATCTTACAGTGATTTGAAATGTAAGTGTCTCTGTGATTATCTTGTATAGTCCCTTATTGTCTCCACCGTCAATTTCTGCAGCTTCCGGAATGTAACTAAACCTATGAAATAAGAATAAATGCATACCAACTCAAAAGTGGAATTTTTAAGCCATTCTCTCTTGTAGACAAGTGGTTCTCAGTTGCAAATTACATCTTACTACTGGCGTGAAGTTACTGTGTTGAGTGTGAGGCTGTGTGTACATAACACACACTGCTACTGAAACTGCTTGCTTTGTTTTCTACTCTCACTCCATTATTCAGGCCTTTTCATCCTGCTGCTGTTTTCTGTCGCCTAAATCAACAGGTGGCTGAAGGGACTGTTGGGAACCTTAACAGATCTTTAGCTGCCCCAGATTTATTGGCTGTAGTCTCTCTCTCTCTCTCTCTCTCTCTCTCTCTCAACAGTGAGACGAAAATACTTAAACTTTACAGCTACATTTCCCACCAGCTACTTGCATTAAATTTGCAGATGGATGGATCTGCATAATCTACAGTTCTCCCTGCAATTAAACGTTGATCATCATGATTAGAGTATTTTAAAATAGAAAATACATTCTGCAGCTCTAATGGCATATTTATTACAATCTAAGGTCAGATGAACTCAATTTATTTCTAAATGTCAGTCATAACATGGCATAATTAGATGTTTCAGATACATTCCACTAGGGCTGCACGATAAATCGCATGCTCGTCAGTGAACAACGGCTCTGTGTAGTTAATGCTGCGCAGGTCGTCAGTGAACAACGGCTCTGTGTAGTTAATGCTGCTCAAAGTGAAAGCACGCACGTGATGGAGATTTACAGCTGATTACAGAACGGCTTTACTGACAAGATGCGCATTAAATATCGCATGCGATTTATCGTGCAGCCCTACTTTCCACCCCAACCCTCCCCCACCCCAAAAAATGTGCACAAGGATGACCCAAACCATGTTTTGGCTTTGTCTACCATGACATATTCAAGATCTGTGTGCATATATGCTAGGTCACTTTAGGTAAACAGTAGGGGTGTGACGAGACACTTATCCCAAGAGACGAGAGGAGACACGAGACTGGGTTCACGAGAACGAGACGAGACGAGATTTTTAGACTTTTTTAAAGAAATCCTCAATGATGAAATATATAGGGAAAAATAGTATTTTTTTTTGTAATTATTGAAATTAATTATTGTTTAACTGTAATTATTGAAAATTAAGCAAACAAGATTTTTTGGCAAACAAAGGGGATTTACTATTAAAATTAAAACATGGAAGACATGTTTTGTGTGATTATTCCTTAAAAAATAATGTTTGTTTCATTTTAGTAGTAGTAGTAGTATAGGCTATGTACATTCTACTGAAAAATAGTTATAGGCACGATGTCTTCAAATCAAACTGGACTTTTATTTTGACGGGTTGCCGTGAATACCTTTACAGTTCTGTGTATGAGATATGACGCTAGTTTTACTCAAATCAAACACTAAAATGCTCATGAAGTGACTCTCAGAGCAGTTCTGTAGATGTTGTTCATGTGTTTACGTCCTCATTTAGTGAGAAATTCACCGCGAATTTCAGGCGTGCTTCAGTATGTGTGTAGTAAATGAAACCGCGCGTCTGCGCCATTCATTAACAGAGACACGCAGAACATGCAGGATTCATATTTAAATCGACTTTTGCGGCTTAATATTTAGATACTAGTCCATATCGTGATTTGATTTAAGTGTAATGACCTACTTTTGATTAATTTATTTAATTAATTAATTAACACCCCTAGTAAACAGTATTTGAAGGGATTAGTCCACCCAAAATGAGAATTCTGTCATCAGTCTTCTGTGGAACGTACGTAAAAGAAGATATTTTGAAGAATGTTGGTAACCATTCAGTGAATGGGAAGTCAATGGGAAAGGAAAAATGCTTGGTCACCAACATAGTACCACAAGAAGTACCACTGTTCCACAAGTACCACAGAAGAAATTAAGCCATACAGGTTTGGAAAGACATGAGAGTGAGTAGATGATGACAATTTTTGGGTGAACTGTCCCTTTAAATCTGTAGAAATTCTACAGAAGTATTTAAGTGTACAATAGTATTTATATAATTTTAGGGTTTTTGCAAATAAAAAATAAAGATAAATGCATGTTTGTAGATGTAAATATGATCATCTTCTCTCTCCTGTAGAGCGCACCATGGCCAGACACGAGGTGCGAGAGGTGGAGCAGAGACAGACACGGGACGGCTTGCGGAACTCTCCTGCATTGCCTGAGATTGAGGATCTGATCATCATCTATAACCGTGTGCCCAAGACTGCCAGCACCTCCTTCACCAACATTGCATATGACCTGTGCGGAAAGAACCGTTTCCATGTTCTCCACATTAACACCACCAAGAATAATCCAGTCATGTCCCTGCAGGATCAGGTAACATGTCCATTACATTACATTCAGCTTATGGCACTTTTCCACTTGGGTTGGGCGATGTCTACCAAATTGGCATCGGACGATGTCTACAGTGAAACATCATGATGGACGATGACATCGGGGGGTGGGCGGTTGGGTGGCGGGGTTAGGGGTGTGCCCGAAGTGTGAAACAAATAACGCCTTATACGGAGCCACTAAAAGGTTAGCCGCTTGCTAGTGGTAGCCTGTTGCATTACAGTACATGAAAGTTCACTTACCACATACACAGAGTAAGGAGAAATGTCTGATAGGAT